GCTACAGGCCTGGCAAGCGGTCCTGCCCTGCAAGCAGCTGGGGCCAGGGCTGCAGGGATTTCTGGGGCCCGACCACAGACTCCAGCCCTGCAAACTGGAAGGCAAAAGGTGGGGGAGGGGGATGGGAGAGGAAGGGGCTTGTGCTGAGGGGAGGAGGGCAGAACAGGAGAAGACACCAAGGGACAGGGTGGAGGAAAAACAAATGCCAGGGGGCCAAGTGGAGACAACGAGGAAAAGGGCAGGAGGAGGGAGGTGTCAGTGGGGGTGGGAATGTGGAGGGAACAGAGTGATGCTGGGAGTGGTGAGGAGACGGGCATTGGGGGCAACAGGGAGGAAGGGGAGGGGGAGGTGCTGGGAGAAGGGTTGAAAGGAAGGGTGGGCATGAGGAAGGAGGGGATGGAGCAAGTCATGAGTGAGGGCACAGAGGGGCATGAGAGGAACTGAGGCAGAGGGTGGTGAGAGGGTGGGCATCAGGGAGAAAGAGGGCAAGGGGGGCAGGGGCAGTGAGGGAAGGAGGAGGCACCAAGAGGGTGCAGGGCTAAGGGAAGGTGCAGGTGCCAGGGGATTCTGGGGGTGAAGCAGAAGGGCAGACACCTGCAGGGGAGGGACCAGCACCAGAGGAGAGAGGCAGGGCAGGTGTGCAGAGGTAGGTGTTAGAAGAGGGGATGAGGAGGGGTAGCTCACATGATCAGAGTGGGGCTACTGGAGGAGTGGGCACAGGGGGAGAGAAGAGTGGGGCTACTGGTGCAGGGGGGCAGGTCTCACAAGGGCTGAGGGCAGTGAGAAGGGTAGGAGTCAGGACAGCAGAGGTGGCTGAGCAGTTGGGGGGCAGCAGGCACCAGGGGACCTGATTGAATAAGGAGAGGAGACAGGGCAGCAAAGGGAAAAGGTAGAGATTTATAAGATATTTATTAATAACTTGGGTGCCACATATCAGAGGGGTGGCCGTGTTAGTCTGGATCTGCAAAAGCGACAAGGAATCCTGTGGCACCTTATAGAGGAACAGATGTATTGTATCTGACGAAGTGGGTCTTTGCCCACAAAAGCTTATGCTCCAATACATCTGTTAGTCTATAAGGTGCCACAGGACTCCTTGTCGCTCTTGGGTGCCACAGTGGCACATCCAAATAAGCCACATGAACTCAATACTAGTGCACAATACAAAATTAATCCTGCTCGTGGGAGGAAAATCTTAGAGGGAACACTTCCCCCAGCCTCCCATTCCCCACTCACCTCCCCCACAAGTTAATGTGATACAAATTGGGTTAATGCAATTGCAGGATAGTTGCATGAGGGGGGTTCGGTGGGAGCCAAACTCATCCCTATTAGGAAGAGGATGGTGGGAAAAGCTCTTAGCGGGGGGTCACACAACACCTTTTACTTCTGGTCATGTGTCCATCTTGATCCCGAGAGTCAGTGGCATGGTTAACAGAGGTCAGGGGATGTGGCTAATGTGTCCCTATTTTTGGTTCAATAAATATAGTCACCATACATGGAGAGAACAGAGTTCAAATGGCTGCCCTTTAAGGGGCAGGGGGGGCTCAACAAAAAAATCATTGGTGTTCCCCATAAAAAAAAATTATTGTTTGGTGTTCCTCGGTCTTAAAAAGTTTAACACTGGTCTATACTGCTATTTTTAGCACAGTAGCACAAGCCTAATTCTGTCAACCAAGGGTCACAGACTCACTGCTACTTACTGTGCCCATACATCAATAAGGCTCTAAAACTTTCTTTGGATCAGGGGTCATTGACCCACAGGAAAAAGAAGAAAAAAAAAGTCATGGGCCATATACATGAGAAGCAAAGTTTAAAAAAACCCAACCACACACAACCCTCACTGACCTGGCCCCCCAAACCAGTGAGAAGGTGGGGGGAAGCCCTCACAGAGGTGTCCCCAACTGGGAAACAGGCTCTCCCCTTGAACTCTAGCCTCACGGAGAGTGGGAGTGGGTGCTAAGGCTCAGGACTTACCCCCAGGACTGGATTCACTTTTCTGGAAGTCTAGGGCTAGAGAATTTTGTGGAGCCAAAAATGAGGGGTTCAGTATGAAAGCTAGGGTGCAGAAGCAGGCTGGGGGTGGGATTGCAAGATCTGGGCAGGAGGGAGGGTGCTAGAGTAAGCTAGGGGTAGAGGTGCAGGGTCCGAGAAAGAACTGCTTGAAGGGGTGGGGTCGGGGTGGGACGTACGGGGTAGCAGTGAGCTGGGGGGGACGACATGATCTGGGAGGGAGTTAGGCTGAAAGACACAGAGTAGCAGTAGAGCGGGGGTGGGCAAAAGCCTTTCAGCAGGCCAGATTGGGCCGGGAAGCAGTTTCAGGCCCCTCCCCCTAGCTCTTTGCCTGGAGCAGGAGAGGGACGTGAGCCCTTCAAACTGCTTCTATTTAAAGGGCTCACGTCTTCCCCACGCCTTGCCTAGCACCACTGATATAACTAAAAGTTTGGTGTTAGTGGTGGTGGTGTTATTACAAATGTTACAAGTGTTCTCAAAATGTGTGTTAAGAAAAGTGTTACAAGTGTTGCCTTCTAGGATAAGCTTTAGATAATGTTGTATGCAGTTTATTATTATTAAAATGTAATTACCTTGTTGTGTAAAAACCATATTGGCGTCTTTTTACAGCACATGGACCACCCCTTCTGCCCGAGGTCCCGCCTCATCCGAGTCAGCCTGTGGACACTTCTGAAATTTGTGAAGTGGCCTCCCTTCAAAAATTATTCCCCACCCCTGCAATAGAAGGTCTGGGCGGAAGGACGCAGGAGACTGAGGCACCTACTTGGCACAGCTCCTGAGGGGCACAAGTATCTCCATGCAGCTCTCTTACTTCCTGCAAAACTCCCACTGGCTAGGATTCCTGGCCAATGGAAGTGATGGGGAGTGCCTATAGGGAGTGCTTCCCTACAGCTCACAGAACCACTTCCTTCCCCTGCTGGGTGAGCCTGTAGACCAAATGCAGAGCCAGCTTGCCTTGACCAGGCTCTCCACACCCCCCCCCGGACCCCACGTAGTGGGGAGCCCATGCTAACACTCCAGCCATAGCACTCCATGTAGGTGGAGCGCCAACACCAGCTTGCGCTGCTGGAAGGAAAGGGGGCAAGCCCTAACCTCACAGGCTGGATCAAGGCAAGCCATGATCCAGAGGTTCCCCACTCCTACTCTAAAATAGGGAGGTAAGCAACTAGTCAACTATCCAATAAGCAAAAGCTTATCAGATTGTCAACTAGTCCCTTGACTAGTCACTAGCAGAGGTAGCAGGGTGGGGGGTGGTGGAGAAACAGGAGCCAATGGTGGGGCAAGCCAGCTGAAAAGCTGGTTCCCCCCAGCATCATCTCCACAGGGAGCAGAGATTAGCGGGACCAGGCACGAGTCAGGAATCAGATGATTGCCAGCTTGCATCCAGTCCTAGATGCTGCACCTCTGCTTTTTAAACGTGTTAAGAGACTGGCTGGCTCTTAATAGATTTAAAAATCAGAAGCACAGAGCGGGGTAGAGGGAGGCAGCACGAACCGGGACAGCTGATTCCTGGTTTGCGCTGGATTCCCTTCCCCAGCTGCACTTTAGCCTTTTAAATGTATTAAGAGCCCCACTGCAGTACCCCTGCTTATTGACTAAACAGACTAGTGGATGGAAAATCCATCAACTAGTCAATTAGTTGATTAAATTTAACATCCCTATTCTAAAGTTTCCAAAAAGGCCGCCAATCCATAATTCCAGAATATTCTCCCAGTCTCCACATTTTCCTCTATCATCCCTATCAGACTACATTAGTCCACTATTAAAATTCTCTCATTAACTCCTGCTTGTTCATTATTTCTTATTCAACTCACCCTCTTTGTTTTACCAACAATGCCAGCTTTGCTCCCTCTGTAGTTTCCTTCTCTCGCTTCCAAAATCTCCATGTCTCTCTCTATGCACAGTCCATTCTACCAGCCCCAATGTGTTTGGTTCTCACTCTTGCCTCTCACTCAAATCCCTCCTCTAAAGACTTCTTCCCTGAGGCTCACAAACATTAACCCATATCAAAAGCCTTCTTATAGGTGAGGACATGCTTACTCAGCAAGCAACTCCTTCTGAGTCTCCCAGTGTATCTTGTTTTATCTGTGTCTATCATTCAGGTTAAACACTCTTCAAGGAATATCTTTACAATGCCAACGTGTCAGCATGTAATGATTAATACAAAATTATTTCTGACACTACTGTAAAGTCACAGAAAACACTTTTCTCTTGACTCAGTTTTTAGACAGTTTGTGATCAACTTGAGTGAACTTGGGTTATGTCCCTCAAGCAGTACTGGGTAGCCTATTACTTCACTAAATCATATTCTTTACAGACTCACTTTCTTCATGCCTCCACAGAAGGCAATTACCGGAGTGTAAGATCAGTACAGAGAATCCATTTGAGGATTCTAACTGGAATGAATCCTCTAACTGATGAAAATCATGAGTTACTGCATTAAAGTCAATATAATTATACTACTGTAAAACTAGTGCGAGAGGAGAAAAAGGACCAATGATTCCACGCTGCTGGCTTCTGAAATTCACTACTTCGGCAATGGGAAGATGAACAAAAAGAACTCACTATCTTGGGTTTATCAAAACCTTGGGCAGAAAAAAAAATGTCCACACAGGGTGCTCTTTTTGCAGAAATCTCTTTTCCTTTGTTTCTTAAAAAAAAAAAAAAAAAATCTGATTGTGACAATGTACTCCTGAACTAGGAAGGCACATTTCCTTTGCCATGTTTCTGATGTCCTCCATGCCTCTTTTTAGTGCTGATTCTGCACTTGTCATCTACATATGATAGAGTAATATTCCAAAGGCCACAGAAGAGGTAGGATTGCAATAAATAGAATATGTACATGAACTTAGACTTGTCTAGAACAAAATAGCAAAGTTCAACTACAGTCCATTCCCAGTGATCCAGCAGGGCAGGAAAACTTGGTTGCTCTCTCACACACATGCACTCAATCCCTAAATGGCATATATTGCAATGTAAGAATATGGCCCTACCTCCTCCCAGGTAGACCGCCCTCAGTTTGACTATTTCCCCCAACCTGCTGCATCTTGGACCGCTCAATGTGTTCCACGTAGGTCTGGATCATCTGTGAAGAGGGAAAAACCCATGAGCCAAACAGAAGTGAAAAGGAGACACAGGTTCCTCTTCTGCTTGATCGTCCTCCAGCATCCATTTCTCTCCCTTTCTTTTTTGCATAAATCTGCTATTCTTTAAAGCTGATGACACAAGTGACTGAACAATAAGTCTGAGTCTAATATGAAAGCATCTGGGTCCAAATAGATACCAAACCTCAAACCCAGTACAATGATAGAAGGTCTGTGAAAAACATGCAGAAAAAACAATGAAAAAAAGCTTCTTGGAAACTAGACCGCAGTGCTGACCTCTTGAGCTATAGAATAAATGGGATAACAGAGCATTTCATCTCAAACGGGGAGGGGAGGGAGTCCTTAGCAACTACAGACACCTCTTGTTTTGAATCAAATATAGTCTTTTCTAAAATATGTTTGTAGACCTACAGAGAGAAAGAATATTTACTTAGAGATGGTAACCTACCTCTGTATGCCGTTGGTGCAGGGCATTGTATTCTTTCTTCATTTCTGATTCACGTTCCTCTAGCCGTGAAACTATAAAAGAAAGTATTCCACTCACTGGAGACCATTTGTTGGACCCCAAAAGAAACATCAGATAATTCTCAAGGCAATGTGTTATAGAAAATAGTTAAAAATAAGTTAATTCCTGTTAAAAATGAGAAATACAGTAGTGCACATGTGGCACACAGCCCAACTCTCATACTCATTTCACAGGTATCAGAATGCCCTTGGTGTGGACTACAAAGTGACACAATACTAATTTTAGAGGTGGTTCTGCTAAGATCCAGTCCAATGACCTATCTGTACACATATCAGCCATTACAAAGGCCAAGCCAACGATAAGCATTAGCTATGTATATATGTATAAAAGCTTCTAGAGCAGTGGTCACCAGCCAGCAGATTGGATCTGCTAGTAGCTGCTCTTATGTCTGAACATGCTCAGCATATTTAAAGGGGCAATGTGAATCTCTGTCTCTCCCACACACACAGTATCTCTTTCCATCACTCACTCTCACATATAGACACCTTATGTCTTTACATTCACCTCCCAAAACAATACATACTTGTACTATTGTTACTACTTTTACTTCTTTCAACGCGTTTTATTTTAGGGGGTTTTTTTTACTGGTCTGTACATTTCATAATTTTTATTTCTCTCTTGTGCTTAAATTTAGTATTTTGAGTAGTGAGTTCTAAAATGCCTAACCTGTCATGGCTGGTAAATTTTTTTTTTAATGTTTATCTAGGTTTTTGATTTTTTACTGGTGGAGCACATCTGCCCATTACCTCAATAACAAGATACATAACAAAATACATTCTGTATATGGATGGGAAAAAAAAAGAGGGAATGTCAGCACAGAGTCTCCTGGAATTTGGCTTTATCTCCTGGAGGCTCTTAGAGCCAAACTAGGAGATGGGCCATTATCGGTCCAGCAGCGCAGCGGGACTAAGGCAGGGTCCCTCCTGCCCTGGCCCTGAATCGCTCCTGTAAGTGGCCAGCATGTTTCTGCATCCTCTGGGGGATACAATGTAGGAGATCTCCACACACTACCCTTTCCTGCAAGCACTGCCACTGCCGCTCCCATTGGCCAGGAATTGGAAACTGCAGCCAATGGGAGATGCAAAGATGGTGCCTGCCGACAGAGGGTGGGGGGAGGGCACATGGAGCCACCTGCCCTTCCTCCCCAGGAGCTGCTGCTGGACTTGTCTGCTTTTGGGAATGGCACAGGGCCATGGTGGGCATGATCTTGACTTCGCCACACTGCATCACTAACCAGGAGCTAAATGGTGCCCAGCCAGATTCCACATCCTGAAACCCTGTCACAGTCCTGAACCCCTTCCTATACCCGAAGCCTCTGACCCAGCCCTAAGCCACCCCTGCACGCAAACTCCCTCCCAGAGCCTGCATCTTGAACTAAGGATGTTAAATAGCATGGAATTGACTAACTGAATAGTCAATGCATTTTTGCATTGACTATTAGATTAGTCATTAGGGCGGTGCTGCCTCTTTGAAATGCCCACTGCAGTGCACTTAAACATAAAATCTGGATTGCACTTAAACATAAAATCACTTTTTGAATGTAAGAAGGTTGGAGATCACTGTGCTAGAGGATACAAAGGTTCTGAAGGCAGCATCCTCAACCCCCCTGGAAAGGATCACACCCCTTGGTAATGACTCCTCTGACTACCTGAGGAGCAGTTACGATGGACACTAGTGCTAAATTCTGGAGAATGACTTGTCCAGCCCACCACCACTGAACACAAGAAGGAAAGCAGTACAAAAACAAATGAAGTGGGATCCTTCGTGCATGAGAAAAGGCATTGGGGTTCAGGGTCTGGAAGGGGATATAGGTGCAGGAGAAAATACCGACCTGGAGGAGGGGTGCAGAAGGGAGTTGGGAGGGGGTTGTGACCTGGGGTAGGGTGCAGGGATTTGGGTTGTGACCTGGGATTGGGGTTCAGGGTCTGGGAACTGGTATGGGTGCAGGTTAGGGTGCAGAGGGTTTGAGTTACGAGTGCAGGGAGCTGGGGGGAGGGAGAGGCTGTGGTGCCCGATAAAGACTCCGGCCATGAGATGCTTACCTAGGAGGCTCATGGACAGTAGCTCAATATGTCCCGCAAGCAGGCTCCTGCCTCCCATGCCCCCTACACTGCTCAGAGCGGCTGGCTACAGGAGCCATGACAGCTGCAAGACTGTGCTGGTGCCCAGGACAGCCTCTTCCTCCCTCAGGTCACAGAAGAGCTCAGAGACGCACATGGCCCCCACAGTCAGTTGCTGTAAGCAGCATATGGAGTCAGGGCAGGTTAAAAAAAACAAAAAAAAAAAACAAAAAAAACAGCCTGATGCTCCTGCTAGGCCATGGGTCAGATCCAGAAGCTTGGTTGGCTGGATCTAGACCATGGGTTATATTTTGCCCACCCCATAACAGATGCTTACAATGGTCAATGCAATAGAAACAAAGCTACTATCAACTTATTCGTTGAACATAATTCTCCCTTTAGCCCTCTCAAAAATTGGTACTGGAGTTGAGAATGGCTGGAACTTCTGCACTCTGAATAAAATGCATTAAACAAAGAAACTTCCAAGCAAAAGCTAGCTTCCATGGAACGTAAGAATGGCCATACTGGGCTAGACCAAAGGTCCATCTAGCCCAGTATCCTGTCTGCTGACAGTGGCCAATACCACATGCCCCAGAGGGAAGGATCACAACAAGTAATCCTCACGTGATCCCTCCCCCGTCACCCACTTTCAGAGAAAGATTTTATAGACCTCTATCATATTCCCCCTTAGTCTCCTCTTTTCTAAGATGAAAGTCCAAGTCTTTTTAATCTCTATTCATACAGGACCTGTTCCAAACCCCTAATCATTTTCTGAACCCTTTTCTGAACCCTTTCCATTGCCAATATATCTTTTTTGAGATGAGACCACGTCTGTACGCAGTATTCAAGATGTGGGCATACTTTGGTTTTATATAAAGGCAATAAGTCTTATTCTCTATCCCTTTTTTAATGACTATTTGCTTCTTTCACTGCCGCTGTACACTGAGTGGATGTTTTCAGAGAACTATCCACAATGACTCCAAGCTCTCTCTCTTGAGTAGTTGTAGACAAATTAGTCCCCATCATATTGTATATATAGGTGGGATTATATTTTCCAATGTGCATTACTTTATGTTTTTCAACATTAAATTTAATTTGCCATTTTGTTGCCCAGTCACTTAGTTTAGTGAGATCTTTTTGAAGCTCTTCATAGTCTGCTTTGGTCTTACCTATCTTGAGCAGTTTGGTATCATCTGCAAATTTTGCCACCTCACTGTTTGCCACTTTCTCTAGATCATTTATAAATAAAGTTGAATAGGATGGGTCCCAGGACAGATCCTCGGGGGACCCCTCTAGTTACCTCTCTCCACTTGGAAAACTGACCATTTATTCCTATCCTTTGTTTCCTGTCTTTTAACCAGTTATCAATCCACAAAATAACCTTCCCGCTTATCCCATGACAACTTACTTTACGAGCCCTTGGTGAGGGACCTTGTCAAAGACTTTCTGGAAATCTAAGTATACTACAAACACAGCCACAAGAAGCATGTCAGCTGTGTTACTGTACTTACTCTGGTCTGCATAGTTTTTGGACTTCAGTTCCAGTTGCCGGGTCTGAAATTCAAGATGCTCAACTTGGATCTGCAGGTCTTTCTTCTCCTGTTCCAGTGCATCTTCAAACTCTATAAACTTCTGTCAGGACAAAGAAACAAAGCAGAAGACCAACTTGAGAAACAAACACAGTGCACTGTTTCCCTTTCTGTTGCCAATGAAAATGGGAAAGTGTTACTTACACTTGTTTTCAATCAGGTGTCAACACTGCAGATTACAGTATTTCAACCAAGTAAAGAGGACACGTACCAGAATGTCAGCTGCAGAGAGAGCAGTAATCTACAAACAGGGGTCTAAATGAAACACTGACATAAGATGATGAAACTCCACAGACTTAAAAAATGCTGGCGCCTCCTTATGCCGAGCTGAATAATCGGAGAGGAGTTAGTGAACAGGAGCAACTAATAGGGGAGTTTTGCGAGAGAGTTTAGATAAGGAGTTTGAAGGGGGCTTGACACACTTAACATTCTTTATACTTTTTTAGACTAAACTAAAATCAAAATGACCTGATTTTAATTTTTAAAAAGTCTATCAAGAAAGAAATTAGCTCTAGAAGTAAAGAGAAGATGCAGGCAGAAGCCCAGCAACAGAGCAGGGACTACACAGTATATGATGATTACCTGCCCTATGGACAGGTGGCACATGTGTGCATTCAGTGCAAGGAGCTCCTGGCCCTCAGAGACCAAGCAGGGACTTTGGAGTTCAGGGTGGCTGAACTAAAGGAGCTAAGGGAAGCAGAGAGGAACATAGATGAGACTTTCAGGACACAGTAGAACTACCCCGCCTCCAGTCAGACAGCCTCTATGCTGTTGAGGAGGATGAAAGGCTCAGGGAAGGAGAACATCAACCTGGAGCAGAGGGAAATGGTCCCATAGTTGTCTCCCTCCTTCCAGATGATGCTGCGGTAGCCTATTGCACTGAGGATACCTCTCCAGAGGAGAGAACTCCAGTTATTAGGAAAAGGCTCCCCTCACAGACCATCTCCTAGCAGCCACCCAGTGCTGCTGCCTCTGATAGGGCGGTGTGGTGGGAGCTCCCTAGGAGTGGGAATGCACTGGCTGCAACCCCACCTCTGGAGACTATCGAACAGTCGTGTAACTGCTAAAATTTGATGAGGTTACTTGACTATTCAATTACATACTACCTAACATCCCGAGTCACATGTTTTCCTAAGACCAAACACTGCTTAGAGTTAAAGGACAAAGGAGGCTGTTTTCAGGTGATCACCCAGATGTGGAGGTGTCCAAGCACTGAAAATATCCTTGACAGCTTTCATTTGCACATTTAAAACCATAAAACATTTCCTACCCCCATCTCTAACTCTACATACAAGAATGATACATATACCAAAATAAGATAATACAGATCCAGCAGACTGTAACATTAAAATTGATAAAATATCTCATGTAACCTATCTAAAACATCTTTGAGTTATCCATATCTGTATACATAAAACAATTTCATAAAGCGGGGCGGGGAGGGGAGTCCATCACAGGAACACAGGTCCAAACTTGCAGACAGGAGGAGAAAAAGCTAGGTAGGCAATTCTTAAAGAGAACAGAGAGAAAAGGAGTTTACTCAGCTCCCATGGACTCTCAGAATCCTAGAACAAGAAGGAATCTCAAGAGGCCATTATGTCGAGTCCCCTGCACTCCTGGCAGGGCCAAGCCCCATCCAGATCATCCCTGACAGGTATTCGTTTAACCTGCTCTTACATATCTCCAATGATGGAGATTCCACAACCACAAGAATGGTCAGAGCTCAAAAACACAGCATAAGAAAACCACCAAAGATTGTAAATTCAGCCCTAAAAATCACAAAAATTGCCAGCACTGCCTAATGTCCTGAAGCTTCTGTTCTCTGAACCATGCATGGGGGAGTTTTCACTTCCCATTTCAAATGGAAGATCTGTTTAGCTTTTAGCAAGTATTTACAAAATAATGTCACATAATATCTCTTGAGGCTGAGTGTGAAAGTGTTCTCATACAAAAATAAAACTTTTTTTTAACATCTTGAATGGAAATGTCATTAGTTTTTTTAACAACCCCAATTTACACATTATACCAAGAAAGAAAAAAACTGCATGCAAAGTTTCAGAGAGAAAGCTATGTTAGTCAGTTTCAGCAAAAAACAACAGGCTGTGTCTAGACTGGCAAGTTTTTAAAAACTCGCCAGCTGTCTACACTGACCGCTTGAATTTTCGCAAGAACACTGACCATATCATGTAAGAAATCAGTGCTTCTTGCGGAAATACTGTGCTGCTCCCGTTCGGGCAAAGTCCTTTTGCGCAAAAGGGCCAGTGTAGACAGCTCAGATTTGTTTTGCGAAAAAAGCCCCGATGGCGAAAATGGCGATCGGGGCTTTCTTGCGCAAAAGTGTGTCTAGATTGGCACGGATGCTTTTCCGCAAAAAGTGCTTTTGCAGAAAGGTGTCCGTGCCAATCAAGATGCTCTTTTCCGCAAATGCTTTTAACGGAAAACTTTTCCGTTAAAAGCATTTGTGGAAAATCATGCCAGTCTAGACGTAGCCACAGAGTTTGGTGGCACCTGAAGACTAACAAATTTATTAGTGCATAAGCATTCATGAGCTGCAAATCACAAAAGCTTATGCCCCAATACATTTGTTAGGCTTTAAGGTGCTACCAGGCTCCTTATTGTTTTACTCACTGCAAACTCTTCATTAGGGAAGGGAGAGGGATTTGTTTTAGGGATGTAAAAGTATAACTGTTTAAATGGTTAAGAACATAAGAACGGCCATACTGAGTCAGACCAAAGATGCAGCTAGCCCAATATCCTGTCTTCCGACAGTGGCCCATACCAGATGCCCCAGAGGGAATGAACAGAACAGATAACCATCAAATGATCCTTTCCCTGTCACTCAATCCCAGCCTCTGAAACAGAGCTAGGGACACCATTCCTACCATCCTGACTAATAAGCATGGATGGACCTATCCTCCATAAATGTATCTAGCTCTTTTCTGAACCCTGAAGTCCTGGCCTTCACAACATCCTCTGGCAAGGAATTCCACGGGTTGACCATGCGTTGCATGAAGAAATACTTTTGTTTGTAACCTGTTACCTATCAATTTCATTTGGGGACCCCTAGTTCTTATGTTATGGGGAACAAGTAAATTACTTTTCTTTATTCATTTTCTCCACACCCATCATGATTTTATAGGCCTCTATCATATCCTCCCTCCCCCCCAGGTCTGCTCTTTTCCAAGATGAAAAGTACCCATCTTTTTTCTCTGTCTTCATAAGCCTGGGCTTAGTGATTACCATTAACAGTTAATATGTATCAGAGCCATAACACAGGAGCGGCAGCCAGCTTCCTAAGAGTAGGGCTGCAGGTGGGAGCCTGTAGCACTAAGGAGGTTAGCACATAGCTGTTTACACAATTAACCGACAAGCCTGAGCTCAGTGATTAATCCTCACGATTACATGCAGCCCCCCTTTGGATGCCTCTATCAGAGGTAGCAAGGGAGGGCTACAATGTCACATAATATCTCCTGTGACAGCATGGTGGGGCGAAGCAGACAGGACTGGCTCTCTGTACATGGCCGCTCCTGTGGAGCCACCTGCATCTAGCTTGCTGCCGCCCACAGAGGCAGCAGTGGGGTGGGGGCGGGGGCAGGAACCAGCCCATGAAGGGAGCTGGGTTTCAAGTGGGCTCCCTGAATGTACAGCAGGGTTGGGAAATCATTTTTGGCCAGGGGCCACCCCAGAAAGGACAGGACCTAATCCGGAAGGGGCGGGGTCATACTTCTGGGCTGTCCTATCCCCTACCTGCGAGGAGCACGTGGCACTTTAAAGTGCCATGCGCTCCTCGCAGGGTGGGAGGAGGCTTTGTGCGCTCCCCGCCCCCAGGCCAATCAGGGCCTGAGGAGCTGCACCAAGCTTCCTTCACCTTGCCCCCGCATACGGCACTTTGAAGTACCGTGCACTTCTCGCAGGGCAGGGGGAGGAAACTGTGCGCTCCTCCCACCCCCAGGCCAATCAGGGCTTGAGGGCGGAGGAGCATGACGTCTCCTCCCACCTTGCGAGGAGCGCGTGGTGCTTCCAAGTGCTGTGTGCTCCTGGCAGGACGGGAAGAAGCTTTGCGTGCTCCTCCACCCCCAGGAGCAAATTGGCCTGGGGACAGAGGAGGGGCAGGGCCTCCGCAGGCCGGATCCAGCCCGCAGAGGCCCTTTTGCTCACCCCTGATGTACAGGCTCCCGTGGAGCTGCCAACCCCAATCCTACACTGCTGCCTCTGCATCAGAGTCGGGGGGGAGGGAAGAGACAGGTGGGAGCTGGTACTCGCAGGGAGCTGGCTTTTAAGTATCACTAAGATACATCCTGCATGTAAATATGTGACTGATAAAAATTCAGCAGCTACATGTTTACAAAAATAAATATTTGCTAACATCCCTAGTACTCACCAAGAGACAGCTTAAAAGCCGGCTCCTGGGGAGGCGGCTGCCGCCCCACATTGCAGATGCATGTAACCAGTGCTTTTTTTGTGATGGTACTGCCAGTACCGGCACCTCCAGACGCAGTATCAGCACCTCCAGTCAGAGCTCAACAACTTTTCCCCTGGAGTATCGGCACTTTTTTTTTTTTTTAAACAAAAAAAGCACTGCGTGTAACCATGTAACCACAGAGATATTCAGCAGTTATACAATTATCTACTTTTTAACATCCCTAGTCTGTTTTGGTTTGTTCTTCTAGAAAAGCCTGGTTTCTACTGATCTATTTGTTACTATTCTCTCTGGGAAAAAAAAATCATTTTCATTCAGTCATGCATAAGGATGACAGAATTGTTATCATATGCAATTTGTTTTTAATCCAGAAAAAGAGCATCATGCTATTATTGCTTTTCCTATTCTTTCTATCAGGAAACCAGCTAAGCTACTGACATTCCACTGGATTGCAGGGACTTAATATGAACTAAACATAATCTTCCCATGTCCATTAAGCCAAAAGTAAAACTCCCTTTAACTTCAATGGTTCAAAATGATGCCATAAATTATAAGGGAAAACAGGAGCTAGTCTAACAATGTATATTTTATAAAGCAAGAATCACCTTCTGAGCACAGCTTTCCTAAAACAGCATATAGGATAAATTTCCTAATCCACAAGCAAAAGTGAAACTCTCTATTTTACAAAGATTTATTAAAAGTATCCCAGTGAAGCCTTAAGTTATTCAGACTAGTTTTTCAACCACTACATCTGTTTATAAAAACAGTTACATTCATAAAATAATTGAAAGTAAACTGTCAAAACAAAGGACTATTGCTTTGATTCACTTATTTTAGACTATACAATATAGTAGTTAACAAGGAGTCTCCCAGTCACATGTACAAGTTAGAAAGGTTCTCCTTTACAATCATTCCAGATTCAAAAAGAATGATTCTCATTAAATATTCCACTACACTATACATCATCCTTGAATTCAAAAACCAGAGTTATTAAATATTCTTCTTGGTAACTTACCAAATCAGACTCTAGGTCTGTGATTTTCAATCCTTTTTGGTTATTAATCCACAACATGGTCAAAACTAATTACAATGATCCTGAGTTAAGGCACAATCATTTTGTTGTGCGGGAGAAAAGGGGCTGATGCAACAGGATGAATTTCATTCCCTACAGCTCCTCTCCCCTGCTCAGAGGGTATGTCTACACTACCGCGCTAGTTCGAACTAGCGGGGTAATGTAGGCATACCGCACTTGCAAAAGAAGCCCGGGATTTGAATTTCCCGGGCTTCATTTGCAAGTGCGGTATGCCTACATTACCCTCCTAGTTCGAACTAGGAGGGTAATGTAGGCATACCGCACTTGCAAAAGAAGCCCGGGATTTGAATTTCCCGGGCTTCATTTGCAAGTGCGGTATGCCTACATTACCCTCCTAGTTCGAACTAGGAGGGTAATGTAGGCATACCGCACTTGCAAAAGAAGCCCGGGATTTGAATTTCCCGGGCTTCATTTGCAAGTGCGGTATGCCTACATTACCCTCCTAGTTCGAACTAGGAGGGTAATGTAGGCATACCGCACTTGCAAAAGAAGCCCGGGATTTGAATTTCCCGGGCTTCATTTGCAAGTGCGGTATGCCTACATTACCCCGCTAGTTCGAACTAGCGCGGTAGTGTAGACATACCCAGAGAGAGCTGTTTCAAAAGGCTCCACAGCCCCTTGAAGAGCTTTTAAATAAGCCTGTGAAAGGTGAGGAGCTATTCCTGGAACTGTAGTGGCAGGATCACACACCTCAGGAGGGAAGTGTGGAAGTGAGCTATTCTTTTCCTCCCAAGAGGCTCCTGTTGGGTTTTAGGCCTGGTCTTCACTTACCAGGAGATTGAGGCTGCAGAGATCAATCTCCCGAGGATCGGTGTAGCATGTCCTTACTAGATCCACTAAATCAACCACTGATCATGCTCCTGTTGACTCCGGTACTCCACAAGATCATGAGGAGTAAGGGAAGTTAACAGGAGAGTTTCTCTTGTCCATCCCCAGCAGTGGAGATGCCACAGGAAATCCAACTAAGATACATCAACTCCAGGTATGCTATTCACTTAGCTGGAGTAGCCTACCTTAGCTGGAGTTCCCTACCTTACTTTTGTGGTCACCAACCAGTCGATCACGATCGACTGGTCGATTGTAGGGGCACTGCCAGTCGATCACGAGACAGTGTTCCCAGACCCTCCTTGCTCCCTTCACACTTAATAAGGAGCCCATGCTGAGGCTACAGCCTCCCGCAAAAACAGAGCTAACTCTGGCTCCCTGTGGCATGAAAAGGAAGTCCTGCAGTTCCACGCCAGATCCAGACCCAAATCCAGTGTGCCCCCCCCCCCCCCCCATGGCAGGCAGGGAAGACAACAAAGTGCACGCTCCTCCCTGCCAACAACAGTGCATGCATTTTCTTATTGTCCCTTCCTTCCCAGTGCTCTGGGAAGGCGCGAGGGAGGGGAGGGTAGTTAAGATGGTGGTGCAGGATCCAGAGCAGCTGGATTTCTTAAAGGAGCAGCACTTGCGATTCTTCCAGCACTGGTGCAGGTCCTGCCCAAGAGATCCTTGTCCCTGGAGACCCCCCAGGTACCAGCCAAGCTGCTCCTACCCCCTCCCCTGGCCAGACCCCCACCAGCACCCTGCTGCTGCCCCCTCCCTCCTGGCCAGACAGCTCCTCCTGTACCCTACTTTCCACCCAGATTCTGCACCCCCATCCCTATTCTACTCACTGGCAGCTCTGTCCTGCACACTGGATCCCTCATTTTTGGCCTCACCTCAAAGTATAGACGGGATCACAAAATCCACTAATCCTGGAATCCCAGAAGAGTTAATCTGGCCTAAGGCCTTGAACCTCAGTCTTGCCTATCCTCCCCACAGGGCTGGAGTGCCAGGAGAGTGAGGTGTCTCAGTTAGGGCCACCTGGAGGGATTCTGGAGGGGTGATTGATTTGCACCTCACTTGTGTAGTCTGCAACTGAATTTTTTGGTGGGTCAGTGGCTCCTGACCCAAAACAGGTTCCTGGCCCCTCCCATAAATAAAGACAATGCTGAAACGTTTTGTGTTGGACATAATATTTTATTTAAAAATGAAGCCTGGCCAACAAGCTCCCAATTGGGACCAAGCTCACATCTGGCCGCAGCATTGTAACAATCCTGCATCCCCCACAGACCTCAACCCTGAGCCCATCATACACCTGAACCCCCTGCCCTGAGCCCCTCATGCACCCCAGCCCAAACTCCTGCACCCCCACATCTACAAGTTTGTGGCTTGCTCCAGCACCCCAACCCTCCACCTGATCCCACTCTCTAGCCTGAAGCTCCCTCCCTGAACCAGCATCCCATTCTCCATCTTCTCCTGCACCCAAATTCCCTCTCAGAGCTTGCATCTCTCACCTCTTCCCACATCCAAATTCCTCATTCCCATCCCAGAACCCGCACCTCCTGTCTCAACCCAGTGAGAGTGAATAAGGGCTGAGGACAGAAAATGATGGGAAGGAGGGGAACAGAGAAGATAGGGCCTTAAGGAATGTGCGGGGTCTTGGGGAAGGGATGGGGTAGATCTTGGCTTGTCCTGACATTTAAAAAGTGATCTTGGGTGTAAAAATGTTGGAGGCCACTGCCTTAGTTTGACTTTGACCCCCAAGTGGAGGCCTGGCCTTAGTGATGGAGAAATTTTGCTCCTCTGACAGTAAGGTGATTAAGTTTCTCTCATGAGCCTCTTCCAGACTATCTCCCATCAAATGAATGCCACTGCTCTAGACATGACTAAGGCCAGATTTACACTAAAAGGGAAGATCAAATCAAGGCTGCAACTCCAGCTACATTAATTCCCTAGCTGGAGTCAATTTACCTTGTTTCAAGTTTCCCTGCTGTCCCTACAGTGGGAGGCCAATGGGAGAAAATGCTCCCATTGGCTTCTCTTTACTCCTCGCTGAAGGAGAAGTATTGGCTGCTGATGGTTCCCCGCTCCCCACTGAGTTTGATTTAGAGACTCTTAACTAGAGGAGTGTTAAGGGGAATGTTGGAGGTATAACGGTTAGCATGGCTGCCTTCCAAGCAATTGGTCTGGATTCAATTCTCAGCCAATGCAGGCTCTGGTTCAGCCTTTCCCTTTCTGGTTAAGCATGGGAATAGCCTAGAGAGGCTGAGGAATCTACATTATTTGAGATTTTTCCAAGCAAGTTATATCAACACCTGTCAGGAATAGACTAGACAATACTTAGCCCTGCCATGAGTGCAGGGGACTGACCTAGAAGACCTCTTGAGGTCCCTTCCAGTCATACGAGTCTACGATAGGGATGTTAAATATTGATTAACTAATCAAACAGTCAATGTTCAATTAGTTGATAAAGTCTAGTGCATGTTCTGCCCCTTCAGGGGCTCTTGTACATTTCAAAGTTGGAACACCACTGTGGAGCCCAAGGCCAGTCCCCTGCTGGGCTCTTGTACATTTCAATGCAGAAATGCCTGCATGGAGCCTGGGGTCAGCAGGGAATCCCTGCAGGCCCAAGGCTCCACATGGCATTCCAACTTTGAAAGGTACAAGAGCCCCTATTGCGGCCCACTGCGCTTCTGCCCCGTCCCCAAGAGCTGGAGGGATCTGACTTAAGTCAGCTCCTCCCAGTCCCCCCATCTCTTAGAGGCAGCAATGGGAGGAAGCAACTTGTCAACTAATGTGTCAAGCAAAAGCTTATTGGATAGTTATCGGATAGTTGATTAGTCACTTACATCCCTAGTCTACGACTCGCTAAATTGAACTCCAGAATATCAATTGTGGCAACATTGATCTTCCATTTAGTAAAAGACATGGCCCAAGATAAAAGTGGAACTAGCAGCTGGCAAGCCTTGTATTATGGATTGCAGAAGCCATGTTATCACTGCCCAAAATGCAGGTCTGGTAAAAATAAGTTCACAGAATTAGAGACCAATTTCTTGAGAATTTTTTCTTTCAAATAACTTTTTATTTCAAATTGTTTAGATTCAAAAACATTTCCAAAACACTACTGCACTAGCTTAATGAAGAGACAGTCATTTTTTGAGCCAAATTGAGTGAAGTGGAAAAAGTAAACTCATGTTTAAAAATTCTTTGTTCTAATCAGAAACAGGTATTAGCAGCAGAGGTTCCAAATGGTTTATTTTGTTGTCATGTTTTTAAAATCAAAGAGCTCAAAAACACACAACCCCAGGTTTGATAGCTTCTTCTCCTCTTTCTTGCTTTTAAGTAGGCACCATTTTTAACATCAAGGAAGCTTCACCAAATACTGACCTCTAGACTTGGTTTATTTTCATATCAATCTTCACATAGCTCCTACCTATATATACACACAAACAAATCCTATATTTGGGGACAAGTAAAAAGCCCACTTTCTGAGTGATCTTCTCTCACTACAATGTAGGAAATCTCCAGGACACTTTTTAGGGAGTATAAGGTCACAGCTGTTAAGAACATGTATGGCTCTGGAACCAATCAACAGATCTAATGAGAGCTAAGACACAATACTTGAAACACATGGGCTATGTCTACACTGCAGGCTTCTTGTGCAAGAACTGTTTTGCAGAAGAGTTCTTGTGCAAAAGGTCTTCCACAAGAGTGCATCCACACTGCCATGTGCTTTTGCGCAAGAGCATCCATGGCAGTGTGGACATTCTCTTGCGCAAGAAAGCTCTGATGGCCATTTTAACCATAGGGGCTTCTTGCGCAAGAAATTCATGTTGCCTGTCTACACTGCCCTCTTGTGAAAGAGCTCTTGCGCAAGAGGGCTTATTCTTCGTAGGGAGAGGAATAACACTTCCGGAAGAAGCCCTGTTTTCTGACGCTATACAGGCAATCCCCGGGTTACGTGGATCCGACTTATGTCGGATCCCTACTAACAAACGGGACCCTTCCCCCAGCAGACCGCCGAGACGCGACTCAGCAGTCCCACCACCCGCGTCCTCCACGGCGAGAAAAGCTGTAC